CAATATAGTTCTTGTTATGTTTATCCTTGGTACTTAGCCCAGCGTTGTGGGGAAAAAAGTATTAGTACTAATAATTATTAGTTATTTTTATTATTAAAGATTTGCTGTGGTAAGGTACTAGGAATTGGAGTTCTGAACCCCTTCCAGGAGGGTAAAAGTTGTGACGTTCAGACATATGCACCCCTCGGACTTCCAGGTGCTTAATGAGAACTTCCTGTTTTGTTCTGAGACAAAATGGACGGCAGAACTTTGAAGAAAGGTGCAGCGGAAACCCCCTAGTGTGGTTTCCGGTCATAAGAGACTAATTATTATCTTTCCAGGTTTTTAACAAAATGAAGAGAGAGCTTTGTGTAAAAAGCTTTTAATGCTGTAAACAAGTGAAAGCAGACGCATTATAGTGTCGTTGCCGCGTCAGCGGCCTTTTATATGAATTATGGTTAAAATGATTCAATTAATTTAATATTTATTCAAGAATTTCTTATTAAGTTTTCAAAATAAATATTTTAAAAGACAACCTGTCTTTTCTTGCACCCAACACGGGTGTTCAGACGTTACATTATAATCTGTTTGGGAAAAAGAGTCCTTTGTTCTCTCCGTACGTACAGATGTCATGCAAAAACATTGTTAAATTGCATTCAATAGCAGTCAAAATATATATTTTTGTTGAACTATGATGCCTGGAATTTATCGTGATTACAATACTTTCTTTACTTCATACAAGAAAGTAAAAAGGGAATGCATAGCTGACAACTCTCCCGTTTTTACATGGAGACACGTAGTCTGCCTTGAGACACTGCCCTCAGTAGGTCACTGAATCTTCCAGTTTTTAATTTTCAGCCTTTACTAAGGAAAATCTTTCCTACCAATGAATAAAATTTACTAAATTAATGAAATTTAACTTGGGCAACTTGCATTTCTCCGTTCCAAGTGTTTTTCAACATATTTTCCTATTGAATTTGATTTGTTATGAACTGTCTATGGTGCAGACATTTGTAGTGAGGATTCTAGCCGTTCGTGAACTAGTTTAAAGAGCCAATTCATTTTACTGAGTGAGCAAATCGTGATTTGCAAAAATTGAGCAGTAGTTCCTTTGAGAACTGTTGAACTGCCTTTGAAAACAAATAACATTTTTATGGTAGAAGGACTGCTTCTTCTCTTGTGTTAAAAGTGAGTTTTATAAATTCTCCTTTTTTTAAAACAAACTAACGAATGAAGAAATATTCTCTTGAACGTTCCTTGTTCAGTTATTTTCACTCCTCACACATACTGCTCTTGATTTACTGCATTGCCTATCTCATTCTTCAAGGTTATTTTTATAAGTGGCAAGTCTTAAAAAAAAAAAAAAAAAGATTCTATTCAGGGAGGGAACATTCTGGTCTGATCTCATAAAAAAGCAGTTTTGTCTACTTCTAATTTGTAGAATTATTTTCTTTTTAAGATTAAGTAATTATTTTTTTTTTTTAAGATTCTACCAATGTTTAATCAGTTAATGTTTGAATTTTATTTTGTTTTGCTTTAACAAATGTTATAAACTCAGTTTATACTCATGCTAGTTTGTGAATTAATTATTAATTTTATTTTCTTCGTATTAAAAGTGATAATAAAGTAATAAATTAAAACAGTTTTTCCCTATTCAGAGTTTTTACTTTAATATGAAAATGTAAGAAAATTATGAAATGTACTTAGCTAAAGAATGTAAAATTTAAAATCATGTCAGTATGCAGTGTGAAAATCCACAAATGCATCACGGCACACAATGAACTGGAAGTTCATCTGTCAGCACTATCCTTATCTTCAGGGCAGATGTTTATATTTTATTCGGCTTATAATTCCTTACTAAATGTAGTATTTCATCTCGATGTACTCCGTCTTTGATATGATTTAAATCAAATTCCTCATCATTATAAATATCACGAATACACATTAACTAGTTTTCTCGTTGCAATTTTTTAATTTCGACTATGCGTAATGTATGCTTTACGCATGCGCGCGTTGAAAGAAATGTTTAATAAAGTAAACAAATATTCAGCTTTTTTTTTGTAAATTTTGATACTCTTTAGATCATAATTGCTCTTTATTTCATAAATTACGGTTTTATATTTTTAATTTTATAATTTCTGCATGCCATCTTACCAGATTTAAACTGATGATCTATAATCCGGAAAAACCGATAATCCGGAATAGCCGAAGTCCCGACGAGTCCAGATTAAAGACTTTTAACTGTATATATAAATTCATCATCTTAGCACTGTTAATGATGAACTGAAGATTCAGACTTTTTTTATTTTCACTGTAATTACAATTTTCGTTATAACACAGTTTTGCCATATCTATGGCCAACATTTGCTGAAAACACAATACAGTCAAAAGTCGTTAATCCGGACTCGTCGGGACTTCGGCGATTCCGGATTATCGATTTTTCCGGATTATAGATCATCAGTTTAAATCTCGTAAGATGGCATGCAGAAATTCTAAAATTAAAAATATGAAACTGTAATTTATGAAATAAAGAACAATTATGATCTAAAGGGTATCAAAATTTACAAAAAAAAAAAAAAAAAAGCTTAATAAATTATTTGTTTACTTTATTAAACATTTCTCTCAATGTAAGTTGTTTAAGTTGCTTCCTTTTATGTGATAATACTTTCTCTTTAATTCTATAAAAAGACATAATTTCTTGTTCAGTTACAAAGTTCCGCTGTTCAAGTCCCGTTAATTGCTGTGCCGAGAATACCGACTAACTTGTCAATCGAAATTTTTTCGTTTTCACTAACCTCTCTGTCACATTCTTCATGTCTTTATCCATTTTTTGCAGCAATTCCACTTTTTGTTTGTTGGACATCGAAACATACTTTCGTTCGTAGATCCTTTGGAAGTTCCAGCATCGGAAATTCTATTTGACATAATCGAAAGTTCAATTTTACTTTTATTAAATTGCTCTTACAGTCTGCAAAATATAATAAGCGGGATCCAGGTTCGAAGATTAAGGAACAACGCAATCATTAACATTAACTGAAATAGATAATTAGTTAATTTTAGCTTACACCGTCCGTTATACATTAAACGCGCAGGCGAAAACGTATTCTGCACTTGCGCACACGTATATGCGCAGTAGTCAAGGTCTTACACGCACGCGTAAAACGCCTGTGCGCATGTGCCAACGCGGCGCATGCGCAGAAAGTTTTTAGCTTTGAGGGCCGGATTATGGGTGTCCGAATTAACGACTTTTGACTGTAATAATAAAACTCTTGACTAATTATTAAGATATGCCTGCTTGAAATGTATAGGGTTTGTTACTACAGTTAGATATACTGGCGAGGGTACTTCTCATGATAGACAGTATCATAGTTTGATTAAAGTTTTTTGTAAAAGGTCCTGCTAATATGTGAGCCATGACTTTACAGCATATAAAAAATAATTTTGGAATCATCTTTTTATTATTTCATTTTTTAAAATTAATCTGAAAATGCAAAGTAAACACTTTTATTACTCATATGCATTAAAGGCAGATTGTATGTCATAGTCTTTACTATTTATCTGTTCATTGGATTTCAAATACATAAACCATGTGACAAATAAATGCACAGAGCGGCCCAGCCAGTATAGTGGTTAGTGACCTTGACTGCTGTAGCAATGGACCAAAGGCAAGGAATCCCGGACAAGGCATGGTTGTAACTGTCCTTCCAGCCCTTGTAGTGGTGCAAGGCTAATGGCTAGTAAATGAAGCACCCAGCCATTTAAAAAATAAATAAATACTCAGAAGATTTGTCATTTGCTGAAATCTTTACTTTTATTGAATTTTTTTATTTATTATTATTTACTTAGGTACTTTTCCGTTTTGCCGGCACAGATGATAAAGTCGCCAATAATGGTACAGCCGATGCCAAACGGAATATCCTCACTGGTAACCTTTTACTCCTCATTTTCAAAACAAGCTGCAGCCCTTTCTTATCAGATTGATTGTTTCTTTCAACACTGGCATACCAGATAGATAGAATTTTTACCAGATAGTTCAATTTTATGCCCCAAGGCCAATCGTGGAAGGTAATTACGTCAATTAGGATGCAATTGCACCGCTCACCCGATGTCCAAAATAAAAAAGGCAAAGTCAAGGACTTGTGTCGAATGGAAAGAGAGTGGTAGTGCGCGAAAGTGTACTTTTACTCTGCATCAGATAAAAGAATGCCTGGAACAACAAAAGGATTAGAAGAAGAATCGAGATGGTAGAATGGGATATTTCACTTAGCCGCCATCAGTCGCTGAAGAAAGATGTAATGAATGAAAATAGACAAGAATGCACTAGCAAAGCATAGCACTGTGGTTTTACATAATTTCTGAGTAAGCTATTCGTATGAATTGAAATAATTCTTGCATTTAAACTTGCATTCTAAATTAAGATTTAACTTGAAATTAATGTAGATAATTACTGAGAATTAGATATTTGTAGCGTAGTTTACGGGAGATGAAATTACTTGGGGTCACGTCATATGAACCGGCAAATCAGGATGTTGTACCATGAAAGAATAGTAAATTTTTAAATTAATGTCTTTTACAAATTTATTATCTTTATTTATTGGCTTTTATACAAAATTTGAAACAACATTAAAATGTTCATACCTTCAAAATAAAAAATTCTTAGAACTAACATTTGTTAACATTTTTTACGTGTATACAGTGTGTTGTCGCCAATAAAGTCTGCTTGGCGAGATTTGCGCTGGCGAAACAGAGAAGTACCTTTATTTATTTTGTATCTTTGCTGTTATTAAGTTATTTTTAAGTGTACCTTTCTGAAGTGACCCATTTCATGATTATTGAAAAATTGTGAGAAGCAATGTTTTTCTATTTGTGAGTCACACCTGAACAGTGCTTGTTGAATTGTGAGGAGTGTGTGAACTAAGGTAGTTTTTAGGATTTTACGTAGTTAATTCTTAGTCCTTAATAATCAGTGTTGGTTGTTAGTATTGAATAAAATAATACTAAAATGATTATTATTTTTTTAGTTACTATATTGTTTATTGCACTACAAAGGTGATGAAAAAATTAAAAGTTTTATTTGGGATCTTATTTGTCCAAATTATGATGGGGAACAAAGGATACATAAAAATCATTCAGGTAAGAACTTATTTAAATTTATTTTTAAGCTTTTGTTAATATACATTTTTAATGGATTCTTATTCATTGTATTCATGTTATTTAGGTCTTGAATATCTTCTAGATTTGAATTGTCCAATGTTTACTATTGACTGAATGCAATTTGAGACTTAGATTAAGTTGAAAAATTTTTAATCCTTTTTAATATTTTTAATAGTTATAGTTTATATTAAATTTATAAAGGGGTGTTGATGGGCATTTTTGCATTCAAGAGAAAAAATTTAAAAAAAAATTAAACTACGTATTGTTATGTACTCCTCCTTTAATATTTAGGAATTAGGATTAAAATACTTGTGTAGATTTCATTTTAAAAGCATAAGTGTTTGAAAAGCAATATTATTTTAAATTTTAAAATTGCAATCTTTTCATGCAACCAGAGTCTGAAACAACTCTTGAACAAGATGCAATGTTTGATGGATTGTCAGCTGATGATAAGGGTAAGAATTAAAGAAACACAAAAGTGAAAGCAAAATCATTTCTTCCATACAGACATTGGCAATAGCCCTTCCTAGAATATGTTATAGCTTAATGCATCTACTTGCTTTTGCTAGAAATGTGTTAGCATTTTCTTGTGCTTGCTGCTCAACCATTCACATTCTTTTATAATATTTTTGGCTCATTGTTTGTCTTTCTCTTAAATGCATGTTTCCCAGTTTGAATACGTCTTGTTCTGTGGTGTTTTTTTTTTAAGATCTATTTTATTAAATCAGGTGTTATGTTTTTCTGTGTGTGTGCAATTTGCTGCAGTACCTTATTGGAATGATTTGATTTGCTAGAGTGTTGAATTTTCAGAGAGTTTTAATCTTTCTTCTCTGTGGTCTTTTGCTGTAAAGTGTCATGCGATAACTGCGTCTGGTACTAAGCTGCATTTTGTTATCAATTGCGTAATATACTGATAGGAGATATAGGAGCCTAACTAAATGTTAAGTTTATATCATAACACAATTTTGTGCTTATTTGGCTATTTGCTTGCATTGTACAATTGTAATTTTAAATTAATGTTTTAAGTAAATAAGCTCTCTTTATATTCATGCATTGTTTTAAAAATGTTCTTTTTTTGATCAAATTAAGTGTGTTTATTATGAAATCTGAAGCTGTTTTATTATTGTGTAATTTTTTATTAATTCTTTCATTTTTAAAAGTATTTTTGCTTAAATTCTATTTCAATTTTGCATAGATAAAAAAACATGAAAATCTTGCCAGAATATATAAATTCTTTAGTCTTTCTCTCTCTAGGTATCTATATAAGTTAAAGCATTATATATAAATTCATTAATTTAATTAATATATATGTATAAATTACAGAATTTATTTTGTGTATGTGTGCGTGTGTATATATATATATATATATACATAAATTCTTTAATTGATTTATGTGTGTACAATAATCCATGCACATAATAATTAAAATATATTATATGTATGTGAAAAAGGCTTTCTCTTTTTAGGACTATCAGCACCAGTTCCTCGTGGGCGTAAAGGTAAAAAAATAAAAAAAGAAACCAAAACAGTTGATCAAATTATTGAAGAATGTGAGTGGACTAAAGAAGAAATTAATAATCCAGATTCTCTTCTGAATGATGAAATTTATAAGAGGCACCTTAATAGGCATTCTAATAAGTACGGAAGTTAATTTTGCAGTTTTAAGTTTTTGAATTTATGTTATACTTTGGGACATAACTTGTGAACTACAGTTAAATGTTTTATTTTATTTTCAAGGGTTTTGCTTCGAGTACGTTTGCTGTATTATTTAAGACATGAAATTATTGGAGATCTTCATGATCAAGTATTTTCTGGAATAAATGCTAGGTATGTAATGTAAATTAATGTTTGTATTAGCTTATTATTATTACTAGCTTATTATTATTAGTGATTTCATTTTTTAGTGTGTATTTGGTATTCATTTGTTTAACCCTTTGCGGTTGGATTAAATTTGGAGATGGGTATCATACTTAAATTCGGTGGGAATTAATTTCCGTCGATAGAGCAGGGATACATAACACACAAGTTTACGATGGATAAACAAGATTTAGTAATTCTTTTGTGAACTTTAAATATATCTTTATTCAATACACTCGTGTATAAAAATTATGTTTTATAATTCTTCTTCATGTGATATTTTTCTTCGATCCCATCGAAAAATTAGTTTCTGATTATGGCCGATCCGTGTACGTCTCTCCAAGTAGTAAATTCATTTATATTACTATTCTCATTTACATCATTTTCTTCTGTTTCACTGTCGCTGGATATTGTTAATTGCCTTATTCGTCGCTTCATGGGAACTATATCACTATCAGAGTCACTGCAATCGTTACCACTTTGTCTATCAGAGCCAGTATTCAAGAGGCCAAAATAAAACTCTTCATCGCTATTGTCAGTTTCACCAAACACTTCTTGCGGTAACTTTCTTTTTGCCATTTTGGGGAATTATTTTGTAATATTTTAAGAAAAGAGAATGTCTAATTACTGTTAAATACAATTTATTAAATATTCTTTGGAATTCTACAAGGTATCGTCGAACGTTGTCGATTACATTACGTTCAAAAGACGACTGACTCGCCACTGAGTCTTGCATGGCGAGCGCCGGGTCACAACTTTTGTTTAGATTAGATTACATTATCTCCAACTGATGGAGCACCATATTGGTTCGTGAATAGGTTTTTTAGGCATTGAGGTTTGTATAGGAAAAGTGTAAACTGATACATGAATGCATACACTATATGATTCGTATAGTTCCTTGCTGTGGTGGCTGAGAGCAGCCATATGATCGTAACGGTAAAAAGGCTGTGGTGACTGAGAGCAGACAAACGACCGGAACGGTAAAAAGGCTTTGGTGGCTGAGAGTAGGCATACAGCCGCAAAGGGTTAATATTGCACGAAATTGCTTTTGAAGAGCTTTCATTGTTTATAACTTGCTTATCATTCATAAAACCCAAAGTGAACTTGAATGTTTTCAAAGTACTGTAAAGAAGTATTCCTTTATTTATTATCCAGCCAGTGCCATTATTCAGTATATGGATATATTTTGCATAAGTTTCATTCATAGTATCTTAATATAAATGCAGTATATAAACTTAAAGCATCTAAAGTTAAAAGAAATGTGGAGAAGCAAGGCAATTCTTCAACAGTATTAATAATAGCATCCTTGTAAAGGGGTTAAACACAAAATCTAAACAATTCAAAATAAAAATGATCACAGTAGTACAAACTCGTAAACTAAAAATTCAAAAAGGGAAAAAAATATGAAAATTAATCTCCCTTTTTGAAACTCCATTTCAGAACTCATCAGGTGAAAATGAATTAAAGCTTCATAAAAGTTGATTAATATGCTTCGAAAAGATGTTTCTCATGGTAAATTTGAGATCAGAAACTGAAAAAAAGAAACAAATTTATATTAAATGTAATGAAATTAGTTTTAATAATGATGATATTTTAACAGTGTAATCTGATTCATAAAGAGATAGTTGCAATTAACACTTCTTTTATTCTTGATAAAAACATTGTTGAAACAGACACAGCTTAACTGATACAAAAAATGACCTGCTCTTGATTAGTTACTTTGGTTATTTTTACATTTTTGTATTATATTTAAAGAAGGATGGGCAACGGCTGTTCATGGGTGACAAGCAAAAAGGAAATGAGTGGGTTGTATGTCAAAGATTAAGAATAGAATAATTCAGTTTTTTTTAACCCCTTTTTATTTTTGGTATTTCGATTTTGGTTAATTAATTGAAGTTTTAGTTTGAAAATTTTAATAATATTATTGGCTGAAGTATTGGTTAAATGCCTGCATCATTAGCATTACATAAGAATTAATTTTGCCAATTAATTTATACCAAGATTAATTAAAAAAACACTGTTTGAAGAAATTTATTATAAGCATACCTTTTTTTTGGGAGGATAAAAAAGGAAAACAGTCAAATTGAATATAAGTCTTAATAATGTGCTGCAAATTTAAGTTAGGATTTTATTTTAGTGATTTTTTCCCTTACATATAAACATATATATATATATATATATATATATTAATTATATGTGCGTAGTATGTATGTATAAAGGAAAATTATAGCTTTTAATTTGCATTAGCCTCTTAACTCTATTTTAATTTGTGTATTCCCCTCTTCTGTTCTAAGAGTAGTAATGTTTATGGTACACTTCCCTAAATTAGTCATTTCTAAGATTTTGTCTTAAACGCATCCTATTTCCTTTTCTGTTTTGCTTCTGTTGCTGACTAGACCTGCCAAGGCCCTTTTTTTCAAAATTATAAAAACTCTTGAAATGTGCTTTTACTGCACCAATTTATTTATGTTGAATCAACCAAAAACAAAAGCAATATTAAAATTCAGACATGACTGCAAGTAAGTTTCAGCATAAGGCCACAGAGGCAGTTCCTCTTGACTAGCATAAGGAGCCTCTAAATAAGAAGGGGCCGGGAGATTGTCATTTTAATACTGGAAATTTTATTTTAAAAGGAAAATAAACTTCACTAACAATATTATATTTTCACTTTTAAAGCTGAGAAATTAGTTCATGTTTAACTTCCTACTTTTAATTATACAGTGCAAAGTTTTAGAATTCATAAGTACTGTTTCAAGGTCTTTGCAATCTGTAAGCGTAGATCTGTTATCTGCTTATGGATTACTGGAAAATGCCTTGTTTTTAATGACTGAAACCCAAAGAAAATTTGGTCTAGAGTTAGATGCCTTTAGATAGCTTTGAGAATAGTTGAAGAGTTTCAACAGAGTGGGTTTAGGAAAGTCAAAAAATATGATGATAAATAATGCAAAGTTGAGTGCTTAAACAATTCAAAATCTTATTTTTAGAGTAATGGTGTTTTCCCCAATTATGAATAGTGTATGCCCATCATTTTTAAGGTATAAAGAATGTTCTTGATACTTACCAAATTATTTAACCAGAATTTCTTATGAAAGCAAATGAAAAAGAAGTTTATGACAAAGCAGTTGATTTTGTGCAGCAGTTTCCAGAAGATATATCATCATCAATTCCATCCCAGTTATCTTTAGTTTAAATTGGTAATTTAAAAATTTAATGTCATTGTAGGATTAGCAGAACTGCTGATAACAAGTCATAGTTCACTTTCTTCAAGTCTTCTGGTGTATTCTAATAGTTCCTATGATTGTAGTTTGTACCAAAAGATCATTCTCAGAACTGAAGCTAAAATAATAATTTTTGAATCATGGGGATATTAAAATTATAGATATTAAAATTTATGGATTAAAATTTAGCTGTATCCTCAATTGAGACTAAGCTCAGAAATGAAACTTGATAAAATAATTAATGGGTTTGCTTCTGTAACAGTTAGAAAATAGAGATTTTTTTTAATCCAAGAATAAAAATAAAATATATTGAATAATTTGATTGTAAACATTTTTTGTTAAATAATTTGCATATGTTTCGTATTACACCATATATGTCGTCAAATAACTTTGAGTATAATATTCTTTTTGAACTCCTTTAACTTTGGGTATAATATTGAGGAGTAAAAGGGATGACAAATAACATATATAATTGCACATATCAATGAGACATTTATCAAAGAATCTTTTATTCGATTAAAGTGTATGAAGCTACTTCAGTTATTAAGAAAATGATCAATTATAACTAGGAAAAAAATGGTTAAGTCTGGAAGAAACAATAAAGATGGGGGAGCCTATTATTATTTGTTGTCCAGAGGCCCTCAGGTCTTTAGTTATGGTACTGTTCAGCATCTGTCTTCAATATTATAATATCATAAAAGAAAGAAATTTGGAGAATGGTCAACATTCACATAATCTCATGTATATGCCTGAAATATTTGCTAAATATCCTCATTTCTTACTTACACCAGCAAATATCAACATTCACCATGCACTGATGTTAAATGTTAAATAAAAATTTTTTTGTTGTGTTTTTAAATTGTGCTTAATATACGTCAAAAGAGGAGAAAGCTTAAGTAACAGCACATGTAAATAAGCTGTTACACATAAAATGAACAGTACATTCTAAATGGGGGGGGGCACCTATAATAAACTTAATTATGTGATTGATGTTATACAACATAATTTATTACAACAACTTTTCCAGGGGGCTCGGGACATGTATGTCCCGCACTTTCACGACTTTAAATGTGTCTCAAGAAATTTAAGTAAACTATGGAGATTTAAAATTTACTCCTTAATATGGATAAGGAAGTGCAAGACCCTGTAGATTTGTTTTGTTCCTTTCATTTAAAATAAGTGACTAAATGGCCATAATACGTTCGAAATCAACCGCTATAGCCCACGGGAAAAGGTTATTATTATGACACTCTGAATTGCACAATGCCTTGCATTTACAATGCCTGTCTGTTGGCCTCTGCAGAGTATATCTGTGTTTGTCAACATACATGATAATGATGGGAATGTATAAGAATATAACCAAATATTTGGTATATTCACAGACATTCTCCAATTTCAATCTTTCAGGGTAGCATATATATTGATATTTCAGTGTAGCAGTTTAGTTATTTCAGACTAATAAATAGCTTGATAAAATGAAGAATAGTGTTTCCTCTTTTTTATGAAGTTATTGTGGTAATTTAAGCATAGTAATTTTAATTAGTTAAATGTGATATAATTTGTTTTATTAATGAGGTTATTCATTTGGAGCAGCGATTCTCAACCGGTGGTCTCAACCACTGCTGGTTTGCTAGAGTAAAATAGGTGGTATGCAAAGAAACAAAGTATTTTTAGCCCAGAAGGGCTATTAATTTCACTTTGGCATTTTGCCTTGAAAATTTTTAAAGTCTGAATCACTTTTTATGTTGTTAC